ACCGCTGAGGCGTTTCCTCCATAGGGGCCCGCCGGTCGCCCCCAGGGGCCGGCCGGCCTGAGGGAACACCCGTCCGATCGTGCCCGGCCTGGGAGAGGAAGGGGCTCCGGCCTCAGGCGTCCCCAAAATGTAGTTGTACCAGGGGGAGAGCTTGGCCCCGGGGGATGGTTTGGAAAGCAAAGTCGGGAGCACTCCCTCCACAACAAAAACCCGACCTCTTCTGTGGTTTACTAACAGGGCAGGTGATACAGTAGTTTGCTGCCCTTGTGTCTGTCCTCAGTACCATTATAAACACCTTTGGAGCCTCTTTCGCAGTGTTTTGGGGGCTAGGACACTGCTGGGCATCTTCTTGTCAGTAGTGGTTTCACAGGTAAATTAAGCATTCGCAAATTACTTGGATACAGTGAGCCTGATCTGATCTAAAGTGGCCCCGTGGTGAGAGCACCTCGTTGAATGCTTAATCAACTGAAAATATGCATATCAAAAGATTTATGACTGTTGAAGACATGTGTTGCCACAGTCCTTCACAGAACCGCTGAGAACGTAGCCTTCCTCTTCATCCAGAAGAGGGTACTTGATTTTGGTCAGAGGAGAAAAATGAAGGGTTAGGAGGATGTGCCGCTGCCGCTATGTATGTGTAACAGTTTTTCTTCAAAGCGTCTATTATTTTCCAGTTAATGCTTGTGCATTGGAGAGTCAGTGTAAAAGAGAAGTTTAAGAAATGTGGTTGCTAAAATGTGAGCCCTTTGGTATACAGGGATTTCCACGTTAACTGGTATACAAACAGAAGCTGTGAGAAAAATCTCTGTATGCAGAGCATTATTAGACATGAGTAACCAATGCAGTTATGTTCTGTAGTATGAGATGGGAGGAGGAATGTCCTACCAGGTTAAAATAGGTACTGCAGGTGCACAAAGTACAGGGATTAAGCATCATTTCTGTGCAGTGCAAGAAAATTGATTCAGTAAAATCTTTCTCACCTACTGTGAGACAGTGTGGCTTTGATTCTTAAGTGAAAGGTATGATGCATATTATTAGAAACAGGTAAGGAATCCATAATGTTGAGTGGGTTTCACTTTTCAGTTGGGCATTTTGACAATTTGTTTGGTGTTGTTTTACTTATCTCTTTATCATGAAAGGAAAAGGCATTGCAAATGATAATATGAAAGAAACCAGTTTACTGGGAGAGGATTTAAACAGGCTTTCATTTATTTGTTTGTTTGTTTGTTTATATTTTTTGTTTGTTTTATATGAATGCCTAGGCCTGACTGTAGTCTCTCTCCCTAGAAACCCCAGCTGGTGGCCAGCAACGACCGTTTCTGCCGCTTTCTTGAGGAATATTGCCCTGTTGTGACAGAAACTTACTATCCCACGATTTGGTGCTGGGAAGGTCGGGTGCAGACACTCCTGCGTCCCTTTATCACCTCTAGACCCCAAGTACAGTACAGGAAGTAAGTATCTTTCTTCTGGAAAGTGATTGATATTGTAGCCAGTGGTTACCTTACTCTGACTGTGTCACAGCTACCCTCATTGCTCAAGCTTGTGCCCTTTTTTTTTGCTTTACACCTGCCTTTACAACTCCATCCTAGGCTTGGAACCATCTCTATCCTGGATTCAATATACAGTAGGTTCCCAAAAGGTCAAGGTTCCCAAATGGCCCTAATTTAGCTCAGAGAGTTCTGGAGCACTGAAATATTGGTGACAATATAGGAACTGATATGGTTATATGTTCACAGGATCACACAATGGTTGAGGTTGGGAAGGACCTCTGGAGGTCACCTAGTCCAACCCCTCTGCTCAAGCAGGGCCACCCAGATCCAGTTGCCCCAGACCATGTCCAGATGGCTTTTGAATATCCCCAAGGATGTTGACTCCACAACCTCCCTGGACAACCTGTGCTAGTGCTCAGTCACCCTCACAGTGAAAAAGTGTTTCCTGATATTCAGAGGGAACCTCCTGTGTCTCAGGTTGTGCCCATTGCCTCTGGTCCTGACACTGGGCACCACTGACAAAAGCCTGGCTCTGTCCTCTTTGCACCCTCCCTTCACATATTTAAACACATTGGTAAGACCCCCCCTGAGCCTTCTCTTCTCCAAGCTGAGCAGTCCCAGCTCTCTCAGCCTTTCCTCATAGGAGAGATGCTCCAGTTCCTTCATTATCTTTCTGGACCTTTGCTGGACTCTCTCCAGTATGTCCATGTCTCCCTTGCACTGGGAGCATTGCTGGCTCACATTCACCCTGCTGTCCAGCAGGACCCCCACATTCTTTTCAGCCAAGCTACTTTGCAGACAGTCAGCCCCCAGCCTGTGCTGGGGCACGGAGTTGTTCCTTTTCAGGTGCTGAACTTTGCACTTCCCCTCGTTGAACTTCATTCCTGCCAACCCATTTCTTCAGCCCGCTGAGGTCCCTCTGGATGGCAGCATAATCACCTGGTGTATCAAATATTCTGGTGATTGAATGCCATAATTTTGCAAAGGTCATGCAATCACTGTCCATCGAACCAACATGTTCAACCTTAACCATAGGATGGTTAAGGATGTTTCAAAAACATAAAACTTCTGGGATTTTCAGAATAACTTTCACCTGTGGGGTTTATCTTGTGTTCTTTCACACCTAAATTCTAAGAGGGAAAAAAACCTTATATTTATTGTTTGTCCTCAGCTGATCTCTCTCACCCAGAAATGAGACTTAGTTTGGCAAATGAGGCATTTGGCACTAGACCTAAGGAGAAGTACTTTTATGCGCCGGAACCTGGATGCAGCACAAGTTGTTTCAGCTCTGCTTGCACGGTAGAATAGATTTAGCATTTAGCAGCTTCCCTTAGTATTAGTAACTAGGAAACATTTCAATGGTATGGCCATGTCCACTTTTTCTAGCCCTTCTTGTATACTCTCTATTTCAAGGTTTGTGAGGGAAGAAACGTAGTTCCATGGGGCAATGCTTATTTTGCACCATTTGAGATTGTGTTGGCAGTACATTCCCATTACTGAAAAAGGGCAAAGCTGAGCTAAAGAGTCCAACAAGGCTGATGAGCTTTAAAATCTGGAGTAGGTGCTATCAAGACTTCCAAATGAAAAATCAAATGCAAGGTAGGCTTAAATTTTGGTAGTTCCTATACCAACTCTCGTACAACGTCATCATTGCCAGAGAAGAGGGAGGATGCTGCATGTTTCTAAAAAAAGACTGAAACCTTCTTTTCATTATTTAATGAATGGGATATTATCATATTTGCTGCATTCTTAGCATATATGGTTTAAGAGTGCATTCTAGCGAAGTTTGTGGAGATACAAGGTGAAAGATATAGGAGTATGTGTCTGTGTTCTGCGTAAATAAAACTTAACAAAGTGCTTTGCATTATACATGCTGCTGCTTTGGCTGAAGAGAAAAAACTGACAGGTGTTTAACACACTGCCCAGTGTGCTGTCAAAAGATTCTCAGATGATCCAAAGAAAAACTAGAGTACACAAGCCTATCTAAAATAGAAGGCAATGCCAAAAATCACATTAGTTATGATCTTCTAGTCCATCAGCAGCTATCCATGTAAGGCCAGCTCTTCATTTACCGTAAACGGGAATTGTTCTGCAAACTGTGCTAACTCATGTCAGCTGGAGGCATGTCTCTTTCTGAATGACAAACATGCAAACATACCTAGTTAAGGTTTTAAATACCTTTGAGTATTAAAACATAATTAAAAATGCAGAATTGATACCTAGTAATTTATACACTGTAAGCACTTAATAGTATGCATGTATTTTAAAATCTAATCAGTGCTGTCTTGAAATGTGCCTTTCAGTGAGCTCATTAAAACAGCAGATGGAGGACAGATTTCATTGGATTGGTTTGATAATAATGACAGCTTATATTATCCGGATGCCAGCACAAGACCCACTGTCCTGTTATTGCCTGGCCTTACAGGAACGAGCAAGGAATCCTACATTCTTCATATGATCCATCAAAGCGAAACGCTGGGATATAGGTGCTGTTGTATTTCATTGCTAGTATTTCGCTTCTACTAGTAAGATCAAATATATGTATATATAAGGTGCCTTCCTACAGCAAATGAAATCTAAAGACATTAGTTTATGTCAGACGGTATTATATTGTTACTAATAACAATGGTGGAATTATGTAACAGGCAGTACATTCAGAAGGGCGGTTTTAGTATCTACAGATGTGCCCCAGAGATTGCAGTGAAAGCAAGCTAAGTCTGTATAGGCCTTTGCTGCTGCTGCTGCTTCTTAAACTATAATACCAGTACTTGTGTTACCTTTACACTTTCTAGAGAAGGGGTTTGTGATCAGCTCCAAGAAGCCTCATGTGGATGGGTTGCTGGCAGCAGGCCTCGGAGAAGGTCAGCTTCTGAATCCCAAAATTGCTTGATTCAGCAAGCCTCAAATTTGTGAGTGCAGAAAAGCGAACCAGCCTGCTCTTACTGGTGGTGGTTAAGGAAGAGGTTTGTCACCTCTTAATTGTCACTGCTTAATTTAGTTTTGTTATTAAGGCTTCTGGTCAGAGTTGGGTAAAATAAGTGGATTAGTCGATGAGTAGATTCCTTTATGTAATCATTGCTGCTGCTGGGCTTTAAAATAAGTTGTCATTGTTCCAGGATCTGTATTTGGAATATTACATATTGTCTTTGCAGATTGGTACTGGCTATAGTAAGTTCTTCAAATATGTATATATGTGCTTTTATCTACATGTCTGGCTATCTTTTCTCTGTTTGGAGGCTTGGGTAACTGCTTTACTAAATTATGAAAGCAAAGTAGCACTTCAACTGTTCAAAGTACTTTTGAAGTCACTTTAAAACCTACCAGTAAAAAATATCAGAGGAGGAAAGCCTTCAAATCAACAACTTCTTACTATTAATTTTTTAAGTATTCCTGGAAGAAATATCTGTACTTGATCACCTAAGAAAAGAAGGTATAGCATTAAAAAGGAGAGCTTTAGGTCAGATTTCAACAGAATGCTATAATTTTGTTTTTAAACAGCAACATTGGAAAAAAATACCAAAAGAAGTAATTTGTCATACCTTTAACCCATCTAAAATACAAAATTATTACAGTGACATGGTAGAAGAGTAATAGAAAAGTAAGATTTATTAAGAAAGCATAGATCCTTAAATCACAGTAATACTGCTGGAAAATTCAGAGACTCCCACCAGCATAGTATACCAGACAAAAAAAAAAAAAAAAAAAAAATCCCATCCCCAAGAACCTGCAACTTAGTTGCAGCTGTCATTATAATTTTGATTTGGTTCATTTCTTGCTATTTAATACAATTATGTAGCTTTGGAGGATGTCTACACATGGATCTCTGACATTCTCTTTCAGAGCACTGCTTTAGGCTCAGCCCTGCGCGGGCAGAGCTTATGTCTCGTATTTGGCCAGCTCAGAGTGCAGGCAGAACAAGATGCATGTACGGTCTTCAGGTAAACCCTGGGGTTCTCATCCTGCAATCTGACCTCAACCAGCAAATCACAGAGCTCATGTAGAGTCCCACTGGCTTCAGTGAACTCCATTTTGGTATAAATGTTTATCCACACAGGTCAGACTTTAAGATCTGTAGGACTGTAAAAATGAATGTGCTGAACTTATTCATGGAACTGGCTTGTTTTTCTGTATGCATTTTCATTTTTTGTGTGTGTTTAAGTTATCTTCTTTAGTGGAATGAACAATGTGTATAATTAAATTTCCTGTCTCAATTTTTAGATGCGTGGTTTTTAACAATCGGGGAATTGCTGGTGAGGAACTTTTGGTAAGGATGGCTTCTAAGATAAACATCTCTCACTTATAAGTGGTATAGATGGAATCATTGGTGTCTATTGGTACAGCTGGATTTAAATGAAAGACACTCAGCATATGCTGAAAACGCAGAGAAGAGAATCTAGTCATCTGGAAGATCAGTCATGTGCCAATACTCATCTTTTATTTTAAAACCCAAAGAGGTCAACTGGTCACCACACAATTTTTATGAACATTTCATTTTAGGAAATAATTTACATTATTAATATCTGTAACATTAAAATGAACAATCCTTATACTTTTCTTTCCAAAAATACTATAGTATCTAAAATGCACACATATGAGAAAATCTGTTCAATCAATGCAATTTTGTCCCGTTGTTTTAACATAAAAATCCAAATGCAAGCAGTCATAATTACTTTCCCAGTTGCCAATATGAGTTTAAACTAGATTTTGATGTGGTTAAAGAGTTGTGCCATTAAAATTGATCCATATTATGTGTTATTGAATTAATGAACTGGATCTTTATAGATAGCTATATCCTAAAAGTTAAATGTGTTCTTGTATTTTTCTCAGCAATTATGACACAAACTTGACTACAAAAGACATTTTTTGTGTTTAGGACAGACGTATCATGTTTGCTTAGAAATAACTGGCAATTCCACAAATGACAAAGTCTTGAAGCTAACCCTTTTCTGCAGCTAGGGACGAGGCATGATGAAATATTGCTGAATAAGCTTTGTTTCTTCATATGCATTTTGTTGACAGTTCTGCAGCTGGAATGAATGTGCATAATACTGGGTATTGTTTTGCATTTTTTAATCCCCTGGTTTTAAACTTTAAAAAGCTCAGAATGTTTTCCCATAATCAGTTAAAGCATTTCAATGCAAATATTGCCGTATTAAGAGTAGTTTTCTGCATACTTTTGGAGATGGATCTACAAAGCAGTTTTGTGACACACAAAGTCCTTATTGATGAATTTCTGAATCGTTAAGAGAAAAGATCTCTTGTTTGGATGCATTGTGTGTATTTTACTGTAATCGGATTTACATCTTTAAGCTTTATAAGATCTTACTGTGAAGCAAACCAGCTGAAATGATCACATTTTCTGCAAAGAGGTTTCTATATTTTAATATAAAATCCCTAGTTAATGAGTTTGAAGCATAGTTGAGCACCACAGTAGAAATTAGTCATGCAAGTAGTTCTTTTTCTCGTCTCTTTAAAGATAGAGTCAAATTTTCACCAAATAATAGCTATTTAAAGAATCAGTTTTAAGGTGCTGTTCTCATTTGTTATTGAAAGTTACCGTGAATTATGTTACGGACTAATCAAATATTAGATTGACCACAGCCAAGGTGAGCTAAGATGGTGGTTTAAAATATCATCATACAATGAGTAGATAGAGAGACATTAAAGTGTCAGGAATTAACTGAAATTAAAATGCAACATATCTCTCTGGCTTTATAAACTTTTAATCAAGTACACTTTCACTTAGAATACATTACACCCTAGTTACCAAAAATAATTTATTTTTCCTTGTAAACTTGACAATTCAATTAAAATAAAACACATTCACACTGTTTATAATTAATAAGGTGTAAAACAGTGAAGAGTGGTTCATGTGGATGAGAACTGGAAATGCAACATAAATGGAAATTAAAAATGTCTTCATTTTTAATTATCCAAATTTAGCTTTTCTTTCCTTTTTTATCTTTCACTTCAACATTTCAATATTCTTGTTAAACATATTTCAAGTAATTAGTTTCATCTACTTAAACTTGTTAAAATTGCCCACAAATATCCAGGCTGTTTAACTGAAAGCAATTAAAAACCCACCCTTAGAATACAATATTGCTTTATCTTGTTGAACAAATAAGTTCAATTAACTCATAATTAAGTATGTTTATATTTAGTTTTAATGTTTATACTGAATTTTGGCAGGCCAGCCACTATAGTTAGGTCAAGGTCACTAACACGTTGGTAACCACTCTATAGTTAAAAGCTCTCTTTTGCTGTGGATGAAATCTAAAGAACACCATTAGAAAAAACCTTATTTTACTGTGATTCTTACTGTACCTAAAAGGACTTATGTCCCTTATACTGTTCCAGATAGTCCCCCAGATTGTGGCCTGTAGCAGTTGTCTGTGTAGGTGATGCTCAGAAGCTGTGCTTATCCTTCAAAAGCAAGGAAGGGGTTACCCAAATCTCAGTGATGCCAGTGGAAGTCATTCCAAGCCTCAATTTAAGAATTGAAGAGACACTGATGGTAGATAGAGAAGGGATAATATATGTGTTTCATTGCTTTAGTTAATAGAATATTTCAATAAATTAGGTGAATGGCACTGATGAATTTATTTATCTATTTATTTGCTTGTACTGTGTGTAGAATCTAAATATTGGCTATTTTTCAAATGCTAGCTGACAGAACTTGAAATCTAATACTTTCTTTTGCATTTGAATGTGGGTGAAGATGGTAAAATTGTCTTTATAACTTTCCTTTTTGTAAATTGCAGCCTTTATGATATGTTTCCACTTCCTCAGGGTATTTTAAAAATACTGGTGCCTATCTAGTTCTGATCTAGTTTAGCTCATTGCTCCTTGTTCAGATTTTGTCTAATGACTTGGAGGCTGCAGATACTGAAGATATTTGTCACCTGTTTTATTTTGTAATGATAACAAGTATAACTCCTTCCTCCACCTCCTCACAAAATTCTCTGGGTTTATATTTGCCATTTAGCGCAGCTTCACGATAAATGCTAAATTTATCTTGTTATATAAATGATCCACTGTTCAGTTTGCTTTGTCCTTAAAGGATAATACAAAAGCTTATGGAGGCATTTTTCTCTCTGACTCCTTACAGACACCAAGGACTTACTGTGCAGCTAACACAGAGGATTTAGAGGCCGTTATTCATCATGTACATAGCTTGCACCCCTCAGCTCCGTTCATGGCAGCCGGTGTTTCTATGGGAGGGTAAGGTATTATGTAGCACAAGTCTTAGCTTAACTACAATCATAAAATAAGACCGTTGTAGCCTGATGGTAAATTATTACTCTGCAATACTTAGATTACTTACTTGGGTCTGTCTCCAACAGTCAATATTGAGAAGACTTTTAGAAACTTCCTATCTTTGGGGCTTTTAGCTCTATATCAGGGAAGGTCAGAATTGGCCAACATTCAAAAGTTGAGAGGGGTGGAGAAAGACAAGAAACACTGACAGACAGATTGACAGCCAAACAGCTGGGCAATACAATCTTTGGAAACTGTGGAGGCCATCTTTGGAACAGAGGGATAAAAAATAGGAACTAGAGCTAATATACTGTGTTTCTTAGCAACCTCTGGAAGTTACAAGGTTTTTCTTCACTCTGTTTGGGTTCTGCAGTGTGTGGGTAGGTTAGGCTGGAAGAGATGTGGGTATTTGCTCTGTTTGGCTCAGAAGCAAGAAGTAGTATTGTTGAAACCAGTATAGCTTGATACAGCATGTGGTATTAAGACTTGCTGTGTCCTGGCTTCTCTCCAGAAAGCACAGCTAGAACAGACAATGATAGCACAGTTGCTTAGAAAAATCCCTGCTAGAAGCTAGGAAAATGTTCAGACAGCCTCTTTAAGGAAAATCATAGGAGAGGACAACTTCCATTAGAAATACTGTAGACACAGTGGTAACTTCCTGAGACTTCCCTTTTTTCTCATAAATTTTGTGAAGGGTGGGCAGATATAGCCCTGTATATTGACATTAATCTACTGACGACTGGTAGGAGCTTTGAGCTAAATACAGATTTGTTCAAGCAATATAGTTACTGATAATCAAATAATTAATTTGGAAGCCTTTTTAAATCAGGCCAGTCTTTTTCCATTTGTGTTGCTGGGATTTTCCAGTGTCTTCAGTATGAAGACATAAATCTCTGCAGTATGTCAGTGTCTATCTTGCTGGGAAGCCCAAAATTGGGCACAGTACTCCAGATACAATCTCATAAGTGCCAAAATACATGGAAATAATAATTTGCCTAGACCTGCTTGTTTTGCTCTTACTAAGAAAGCACAGCATGTCGTTATTTGTCTTCATTGCTGCAGGGGTGCATTGCTGAGTCAAGTTCTGTTTACCCAGGTCTTTTTCATCTGCTGTCTATCGAGCCATTAATCTGTTCTAGGTGCAGGACTTCACATTTGCCTTTGTTGAACTTCATGAGGTTCTCCCAGCCCATTTCTCCTGTTGAGGTCCCTCAGAATGGCAGCCCTGTCTTCCATTTCACCAGCTACTCCCCACAATTGACCTGCAAACTCACTAAGGCTGTGTTCCATCTCATCATCCAGTTAATGAAGACATTACACAGTATTGGCCCCAGTATTGACCCCTGAGGAACACTACTAGTATCTGGTCCAACCACTCCAGTTGGACTTCAAATTGCTGATCACAATTCTCTGAGCCTAGTGGTCTGGGCTGACTCACATTGCAGGTCACCTATTCAAACCACATCCCTCCAATTTGGCTACATGGAGACCATGGAAGACTGTCAAAAGCATTGCTAAAATCAAAATAAGCAACATCCACTCCTTTCCCCTAATCAACAAAGGCAGCCAGTTCATCACAGAAGGCAAGCAGGTTGCTCAGGAATGCTTGTTGTTGGTAAATCCATGCTGGCTTTATCAGTCACCTTCTTTACCTTTACATGCTTGGAAATGGCTTCCAGAGGATATTCCCAAAGCGCTGAGGTTAGGCTGACCAGCCTGTATTTCCTCCTCCTTGCCATTCTTGTAGATGCGTGCCTTTTTTTTCCAGGCATCAGGAGTATCCCATAGTTGCTGCAACCTTTCAAAAGTCATAGAGAGCAGTCTCATAATGACATTGGTTGCCTCTCTCTGGAGCTTTGGTGCTCCTCACCTGGTCCCATTGACATATCTATGTCCAGTTTGCATAACCAGGTCTTAACTCGATCTTCCTCTGCCATGAGTAATAATTCACTCTCCCATTCTCTGCCACTAGGCACAGGGACCTAGGAGGCCTAAGAACAGACCTCAGCAGTAAAGACAGGGAAGACAGGTAGCCTCAGCCTTTTACAAATCTTTTGTCGCTAGGTTCCCTGTTGAATAGTGGTCTCAGGAGGGAATGAAGGCTGGTCAGCCTAACCTCACTTCTTTGGGAAGATCCTCCGGAAAGCATTTCCAAGTATATGAAGGATAAGAAGGTGACTGAATTCACCAAGGACAAAACATGCCCAAGTGATCTGATTGCTTTCTATGATGAGATGACTGGCTTCACTGATGATAGGAAAGGAGTGGATGTTGTTTGTTCTGAACTTTTCTTTGTACCAGTGTACTTGTAGAAGCCTTTCTTGTTGCAGAAGCCTTTTTCTTGTTTCCTGCATATCCCTTGCTAGTTCCAACTCCAGCTGAACTTTAGTTTTCTTAACAGCATCCCTGCACGCTTGGGCAATGACTGTTTCTCCTAGGCAGCCCACTCCCCTTCCACCTTCAGGATACTTCCTGAACAGGAGTTTTTTGTTCCTCCATGTGGTCTTCTGCCACTCTTGCTCAACTTTCTGCACATCAGAATGTACCATACTTGTGCTTTATGTTCAGTTATCCTTAAGGTCAGTTTTCTTAGACCTCTTTGCCCATCAGGGCCATCTCACATGGGATCCTACCCACCAGATCCCTGGCCAAATTAAAACCAATTCTCTTCAAATCCAATATTGTAATTCTGCTGCTTACCTTCCCCACTCACTTTTGATCTTAAAAATCCACCATCGAATAATCTCAGTGGCCAAGACTGTTCTGTACCTTCCCATACCTGATGGTTTTTTCCTTACGTGTGAGTAGCAGATCCACAGAACACTGCCCCTATTTGGGTCATTTATCATATATCAAAAGACTGTCCTTGATAGTCTCCAGAAATCTCATCTGCTTGTGCCTTGCTGTGTTGTTGTTCCAACTGATGTTGGGATGGTTACAATTTACTGTGCCTGGTGATTATGAAGCTTCTTTTAGCTGTCTAAAGACTTGGACTCTCTAATTCCTCCTCTTGATCAGGGGTCCGTAGCAGACATCCAGCATGATATCCCCTTCGTTAGCCTCCTGTCTGATTTTGACCTATTAGCTCTGAAGTGGCTTATAACCTGCACCAGGGAAAAGTTCTGTGCATTTAAACAGCACCTTTGTCTAAAGTGCAAACCCTCCTCCTTGCCTTCAAGGTCAATCCTTTGTGGAGAGTCTGTTTGCATCCATCATAGCATAGTCTTGTCTGCCTGTGAGTCCTCCATGTCTCTTTGATCCAATAAATTTGTTCTGTGATTACACACAGACTTCTAATTCCTCCTGTTTCTTCCCATGCTGTGTGTTCGTACGTGTGGTGGCACATGAGATGGGTCACAGTCATGCTGCTTTCTCAGGGAAATGTGAAAGCCTCCGCCATTATGCTCTCCTTTGGGTGCTTCATCAGGGCCTGCCAGGCCTTCGCTTCTCTTCAGGCTTTGTACTCTATCCTTGGACAAACCTAGTTTAAAAATCTTCTTCACAAAGTTAGCAAGCTCTTATCTCCCTTGGCATGCCCAGACTTTTTTGCATGCAAAACATGAAATAACACGATGTATTGCAAAAACATGTTTCACTGGAAATGGTGAAATCCGAAGAAGCATCTGCAGCAGAGGTTTGTTTCAAGATGAGATAAAAAATTCAAGCGCAGTAGTTCTTTGTGAGTAACTTACTGCACGGTGCACCATTACACTAGAACTAAGAGGGCTGGGGTGTAGTAGGTGAAGAACCAGGTTTTCAGGGCTGAAGGTGCAGTAGAAGCTAGCTGTTCTGTGACCAGTTCGGCCCTGAGCGTCATTTCTGTCCTTGGCTTAACCTAGTTATGGTATCCTAAATAGTGACGAAGTCTGTTAGTATGGCACAAGGAATCTGTGTTGTGTTCCTGGCTCTTACCTCACCACCACCACTGGGCGATTTTAGGCAAGATGTTCCACCTTCCTCCTCCAATGTTTTTAAAGTCCCGAACCACAAAGAGAAAGCATATGCTTAATTGTACAGAAAACTGGAGTCTCTAATCATCCACATGGGGACTGTTTCCATGCTTCAAAATTAATTGGAGCACTTGCATGTTTAAAATTAAGCAAGAGCAGAGATCTCACCATGGGCATGCTGTGAAAATCATCCACTTGTCTTAATCTTACAATAGTTTTTATTATCTGCCCCTTTTTAAAATTTTCTGAATAGCCAGTTAATCTATATAGGATCATAGAATCATAGAATCATATAGTGGTTTGGGTTGGAAGGGACCTTAAAGATCATCTAGTTCCAATCCCCCTGACATGGGCAGGGACACCCTCCACTAGACCAGGTTGCCCAAACCCCCATCCAACCTGGCCTTCAACACTTCCAGGGAGGGGGCATCCACAACTTCTCTGGGCAACCTGTTCCAGTGCCTCACCACCCTCACAGTGAAGAATTTTTTCCCTATATCTAATGTAAATCTGCCCTCCTTCAGTTTAAAGCCATTACCCCTTGTCCTATCACTCCATGCCCTTGTAAACAGTCCCTCTCCAGATTTCTTGTAGGCCCCCTTCAGGTACTGGAAAGCTGCTATAAAGTCTCCCCAGAGCCTTCTGTTCTCCAGGGTGAACAATCCGAACTCTCTCAGCATGTTTTCATAGGAGAGGTGCTCCAGCCCTCTGGTCATCTTGGTGACCCTCCTCCGGACTCGCTCCAACAGCTCCATGTCCTTCTTATGTTGGGGGCCCCAGAGCTGGACGCAGTACTACAGGTGGGGTCTCATGAGAGTGGAGTAGAGGGGCAGGGTCACCTCCCTCGACCTGCTGGTCACACTTCTTCTGATGTAGCCCAGGACATGGGTGGATTTGTGGGCTGCAAGCGCACACTGCCAGCTCATGTTGAACTTTTCGTCAATCAGTACCCCCAAGTCCTTCTCAGGGCTGCTTTCACGCCCAGCCTGTAGCTGTGCTTGGGATTGCCCTGACCCACATGCAGGACCTTGCACTTGGCCTTGTTGAACTTCATACGGTTCGCACGGGCCCACCTCTCCAGCCTGTCAAGGTCCCTCTGGATGGCATCCTGTCCCTCCAGCGTGTCGACCACACCACACAGCTTGGTGTCGTCAGCAAACTTGCTGAGGGTGCACTCGATCCCACTGTCTACGTCACCGACAAAGATGTTAAATAGTGCCGGTCCCAGTATTGGGAGGAACACCACTCATCACTGATCTCCACTTGGACATTGAGCCATTGACCGCAACTCTTTGAGTGCAACCATCCAGCCAATTCCTTATTCAACAAGTGGTCTGTCCATCAAATAGACCAATCCAGAGGCAAGGATGTTGTGCGGGACAGTGTCAAATGCCTTGCACAAGTCCAGGTAGATGATGTCTGTCACTCTTCCCTTGTCCACCGATGCTGTAACACCATCACAGAAGGCCACCAAGTTTGTCAGGCACAATTTGCCATTAGTGAAGCCGTGTTGGCTGTCACCAATCACCTCCTTGTTTTCCACGTGCCTGAGGACAGTTTCTGGGAGGATCTGCCCCATGATCTTGCCAGGCACAGAGGTGAGACTGACCGGCCTGTAGTTCCCTGGGTCTTCCTTTTTA